ATTTAGCATAGGTTGTAGAATGGCATATGTATGGATTGAAGTTAGTCGGTTTAAATATATATCGTCGGTTTAAATATATATATATATATATATATACATATTTTATATCGGCCCAGTCCGACTTTATTACTTTCCTTACTGGTTTTACATACATATTTGGTATCATTTAAGACCGCGAGAAAGCGTAAGCGTATTTAATTTGTTTTTGACAATAATTTTAGAAATTAATTTTGCTCAATTATGCGTGATTTCTGTAATTGAACAAACAGTTCAAATAAGCGGGTATCGGATAATTGGTTCCTCGGTTAATTGAACAAAAAATTGTGCAAATTTTGATGTGCAATTGACCGAAAAATACTGTAATTGTATTTTTGAAATATTAAAACGACGTGGCGTTGTTAGTAGATACTTAGTACATACGTTTGGTCTGGGCTTGGTAAAGATAATAGTTTGTGCAAAATTTATAAATATTGAGGTACCGGAAGGAGTGGACCAATTCAAACTTGATCCAGCTTTTGCAAAGTTCGGTTCAAATCGGACATTCACTTTTGAATATTTGTGGGGGAGGTACCAGAAGGAGTGGACCAAAGGGTCTTCCAACTTGAGCTAGGCTTGGTAAAGATAATATTTTGTACAAAGTTTCGTTAAACTTGGACAGTCCGTTTGCATTATATTATAAAATAAATGTTTAGCACAATTTTGACCATTTTGTGGGGGAGGCCGGTCAACTCCTTCTGGTTAACCGATATTCCCCATCTTCGAACTTAAACTAAGTTTGGGAAAAATATTAAGATGGGCAAAGTTTGGATGAAATTGATTATTCCCTTCAAATTATCGTGCACAGACGGACAACGGGCGAACGGAATGCTTAAATCGACTCCAAATTTTCTGAAACGGATTTGGTCTAATGAAACATGGGGCCTAGAACTAATATTTCGATTAAACATATTTTCACCGTATCAAAATGTATATGGGAAATTACAAAATTCCATTAAAAAAAAATTTGAAAATTTTTTTTGCGAGCACATTTATGATTTTGGATAAAAAACGCATATTATTCGCGTATCGATATATTTTTGACCTATTTTGACACAGATTCGCGAATATGATAACACTAGAATGAATGTGTGTGAAATCAATTCGAATAAAAACGCTATTAAATGTGCGAATTTGTCAAAATAAGTTTTTGCAGTTTTTCCCACATTCAAGGTACCTATATCCGCCGTTTTATTGGGCGGAATTGAACATGGATGGGCTCATTAGATCCGGCACGTAAAAAACTAAAATCACGCGGGGTTCCACGGAATTTGAATGGAGTTTCGTTATTTTATTATCAAAAAATATGTTTTTTATAAAAATTTACGCACCAAATTTTTGTCTTTGGAACCCAATTGCAAATAAGCTACGGTGAGCACATTCATGTGATATACACTAAACGAAGCAAAATCACGAGTTCTACAATCCTATAAATCCTAATTATAAGAAAAAATCAAAAAACACCGAAAATCCGGCTTCAAAATAACAGCATCCATTTCGGGTGGATGCAGTGATAATATCGAAAAATCATACATTAGAACCATGTTGTCCATGGGGTATTCTGCAACTTAGTCACTGATCACATATGCGTGCGTTGTGTAGTTTAGCCACAAATCAGGAAGGAACACAAAAAAACTCGTTGGCTTCAACGCATTTTCACCCATTCTTTTACATTACCACCATCACAGCTTCCACCCAACTCATTATTTATTACCAATATTTTAAGATTTTGACAAGAACACTTCATTTTATAGAAATGAATTTAAATTTTATGCAATATGTTCATATTTCGCGAGTTATAAGGTTGCAAACCTCAGTTTCAAGGAATTTAAAAGATTTTTGTAATTTCCCATATACCCTCAATAGCCATAAGGCTGAGAGTACAAAAAGATGAGCTTTCTTTGAGAAAACTACATAAATGTGTCAGGGCCTATTTGTTTCCTAAGGAATCATAAACATTACACAACTGTTTGCGAATTTTCTTTTACTGCGAACTCATAAAAAGTCAGATTTCCTCCTTTTTTGTAAGATTGATTGATCGATTTAAAATGAGACCTATGAGGGATGGAAAATACATGTGTAAAATTACTTAAAAAGCTACGGAAAATACAATATCCGTAAAGGAGCTTTATATAGACTTAAACCTCATTCATGTTTACACCCCACACAACTATGTTTTAAGGGTATTATAGGTACAATAGCTTATAACGCCGCAAAATATTGGTAGTAGACCCACCGTTTAGTACAAAAATTGTCACATCTTGACTAGCTGAGTCCATCTAGACATATGTGTCTGTCCATTATAATTTGCAAACACGATATAGGCCACAGTTATGGACCGACCGTCACGAAAAACTTTATTTTTGTCCGCTTTTCTAGACAATTCTGACCAAAGAATAAATATGACTGTTTTGATGAAGATCGGTCAATATTTAGAGGTTCAAATGGAACCAAACTTTGATGTAAAAATGACAAAATTTGTATTCTTTGAAGTATATATTTACTCCAGAAGGACATGGATCTGACAAGTTGATAGTACATCCAAGAGGAGTGTTTCACCTATAAATTGATACCAATTATTGAAAATTTATTGATGTATGTACTCGGATAGGGGAGTTATACGTAAATATTTAAGGGGTTATTACCATTAACACACTATCATGATCAGATGACTGTGATGATCAGATGATATTTAGGGGATAGAAAGGACCAATCTATATTAGGAAACTATACAGATTGGTCGCTCTAAAAGCTAATATTGTAAACCGAACATCACAAATTTTCCATGTGTATGGCGATCTGACCAACTATTTCGAATGACTGTCTTGATAATAATTTATTTAATGGAACAAATAAACCAAAAATTTTTCATGTAAAATATCAAAATTTTAATTTTATGGAGTACAATTATCGCGAAATATTTCCCAGACTCGGAAACTTAGAGCTCAGTGGTAGTTGTGTAGGATATCATGTTGCCTACTTTATGCCAAAATCAATGATCGAACAACTTGTTGATTTTTAGAGTTTAAAATATTGTTCCTCTTTGGGAAACAATTTTAACGGACGTAACTACAGAAAAATTAGAAATTGACTTTTTGTTTCATTATTGTTCGTCTAATCAAACTACATGTTCACACAAAGTTATATACGTCTAACGTCAAAAACAGCGATCTTATTAAAGAAATTAAAATGGGCGTAACTACAATAGTATGTTTTTATTAATGCAAACAGACGTAACTACATTCCTGTAAAAAACTAAGGCTCGCAATTCCGAACTTATATTAATGTTACTTCTGGGATGTTTGATATTGAAAATGCGATATATCTGTCAATTTTTTACGATAGCCCCCATATAGCGGTACCCCAAATTTAAGGCTTTTCTTCATTTTTTAACTAATCAGCTATAATTACATTTTTTTAGATTTTATAACGTTTTTTGCTTCTCCTGTAAAATTAGTAAAAGCGTAGTTACGTCCGTTTGCATTTATAATCACGATATGCTGGATTAATGATTGAAATGGTCGTGGGTGTACTTCGGCACTTTTTGTCCTAAAATGCCTATCTCTGGTGTATTTACTATTATTTATGTATGGATCCAGACCGAAGTTATGTGTTTTGAAAGCCCAGTCAAAATTGGCGACCTTAATAATACCTCGTTTTCCAAACATGTTACACCACTTATTATTAGCAAATTTATTAACGCTGTAGTATTAAAATCCTTAGTAATACATTTTATATAACAATAGCAACAGAAAAACTACAAAGATTAGTTTTTTCTCCGCATAATTTCATATAAACGGATTTTGTTTTATTATTTAGAGCAAATGTATTCTATATTAATGAACTAATGAACTATATTTAGATTTACAAATCACTTATCATTTTCTGTAATGGCTTATGATGATGATTATCTATGAAATTAACAATTACTTCATGACAGCCGAAATGTAATGAAACTGAATACCCCAAATGAACAACTGGACTGACAAACAACCACCCACAATCAACAGATTAGTGGGTCAATAAAATATGGCCAGCACAGAGAAGTGATCATCAGACAATAAGACACTGGAAATGACTAGCTGACAGTTAAGCAAATGGTAAGGGAGGCAAATGACCATAACGTTTATTATATAATGTGCGAAATAACAAAACTTAAAGAAAATCCACAAAAATACATTCGGAAAAATGTTAAATAACATTTTGTCTAACACGTAATGGCTGCAAGCTATGGAAAACCAGATAACAACTTACCGACATAATGTGCACTGACCATGGCAATGGAACAATATGTTTGCTGCTGCTAACATGAACATATAAACGTACAAGCTTACTGTGAATATAGTATATGATGTATCTAGCCACTAGGGAGATTGAGGAAGTTTGGGAAATGGAGAACATTGTAAAAAATTAGCATAACATATAAGAAATTGAGAAGGACGACTAAAGATTATTATGGGCCTATTTTGAACAATAATGCGATGGAAGTCTTTGGATTTAGGAAATCGTTAGAAATATATTACAAATAATTTTTTAAGTTCCCCAAAAACCTGTGGTAGATATCATGCCCTCTCATTATTTGCTGTCACAATTCACTTACTTCGGTAGCGACCCTCGTAGTTTAATGGAAAATCAACAAATGTTTGTTTTGATGAATTTTCCTTCCATTTCATGTTCTTATGTGGGGTTAGATGCCAGTTTTGCCATTTTACCAGCTTATAGCGTAACATTAAGCACTCTTACGTCGATGTTTTTTTTTTGTTCGCTAAAAACAAACAAACGAACAAAAAATATGTAACATCTAATGTTTTGCATTTAATGGTAATGATGTAAACTCTTCTTCTGTTTTCTTTGACTTCAGTCACCCAATGACCTAATGACTTGTGGTGGTCTACTATAAAACGGTGGGTGGTTGCTTGGACTAACTTTAGTTTTGATTTAATAGCCAACCGAATCTTGACGAAATGAAAAATATTAACGAACGGTTTATAACGCGACAAATAATCACATTTGTGATTTTACTAATAAGTGTTGTGACTTCATGTTTAGCAAATTCTGTCAATAAATCAGAAAATTTACAAGAATTTAAATACTGTTTGAAGAGTTCGAAACAACCGAGCTTAAGAGAATGTATTGGTCGTAGTGCTATTAGTTTCCTGCAACGTTTCGATGAACGGGATAATTTCACTTTGACAATGGATCTGGTTGCGGCAAAAACGGATAATGCTGCAAGTAGATCATTGGTGAATTTCTTGGATACCGATCCAGTGGATGTTAGGTAAAATGAGTATTAAATAAAAGTGATGAATAATATTTAACTAGTTTTAAAATAAATATGATGGAAAGTTTGTGTAGATATAAATTTCTATACTCTTCACCACCGTCGACACTTAAAACTTTGCAAAGTTATCGACGTATACAGTACCTGAATTAGAGAAAAAAAATTCTAAATCAATCAAAATAACGGAAAATCCATATAAGCCCCAGTATGACAAATACGGGACAAAACGATTGGAAAATGTGCCTAGGCCGATAATCAGGACATCAAATTATGTAGAACCGACGCCAAAATCTGTACCTATATTTTAAAGTTTCAAAAAAGAACCTTATTTGTTGTTTAATTTTAAAATTTGGAAATTAGTGTGGAAATTCTGTAACGAATATCCTAAATGTTGTATGTATTCCTATAAACATGGATAATTATTTTAACCCTACGATCAATAACCAAAAAAATTATACGTAGATCAATAACCATGGTACATTTTTACCCATCCAAAGATAGCTCTGTAATTCATTTAAAAATTGGACTGTCGTGATCTAAATGTAGGAACTCGAAATTATATATACATTAAAATAATATATATTAAAATCCATTGTTAAGGGGACCCCCCATTCTCGGGGTCAATTTTTTTTTTTTTTTTGATTTAATTCAAATCTACACTAATTCAAGAATGTCCCTACAAAATTTCAAGTAAAAATATCAAGAACTCTTAAAAATATAGCCGATTTATTGTGTAAGCATCAAGTGACGGCTAAAGGGCTTCTCAAACTTTAAACGCGTTTTTCTCTTTTGCGAATGGCGGGCACGATAACTCAAAAACTAATAACCCAATCGATTCCAAATTTTTACACGTTTCTCTGTGAGTGTATAGCTATCGTATGAACTAGGATAAAGCCAGTCGCTGAAGATCTTCCCTATTTGTTAACTCGTTCTTTGGTCAAAAATCGGCGATTTTCCAAAAATATTTTTTCAAAGGTCCGCCCCTTTTTGTTAATTTTAGAGCGAAGTCAATAATCCTAGTTCATACGAGAGCCAGGCATGTACTCTTTCTAACACCGTTGGAATTTTCGGATTCCGATGTTCCAGTGAGGAGTTATCATGCCCGCCATCAAAAATAAGGACTTTTCTTTAATTACAAAAAAAAAAAAAAAATAACAAACATTTTTTGTAAATTATTTTTCTTCTTTTTAAAATCTTCAGATATATATGCAAAGTTACAAACCTTAACAAGCATTGGTATTGATTTACCAGCCCATTGAAAATCTTGAAAAATTAAAATCGAGAATGGGTGGGGTTCCCTTAAATGATTATCTATCTAAAACAATCATAATAGATTCATTATAGCTTTCGAATGCGTTAAGCTTTTATAGTTATTTTTATTGGGATCTTATTTACGTGTTCCCCAACCCCTCTGCAAATTTTTGTGGCCCTAGACAACATGGGGCCATCAGGGCGACTCGTGCAAGTCAGAAACTACCTTGGTTTTCCTTTGGTATATTTGGTTCACTACCTCGAAGATGTAGTTTGGAAGTTCCACAGTTGGTCCGAGTCTACCTGACGTCTTGCGCGTTAATACCATTAGGTTGGTGTTCTCGCCAATTACCTCCAGTTCCTCTTTGGCGACTCCTCCTCAATTCGTGGCAAGGTGCCAATGTTCGACCCATCATGTCGACGTCATCGACGTAGTTGAGTAACATGTGTTGTTTGGTGTACAGAGTGCTCCGAGAGCTTCTATCCTACTTTAACTGCTGACCTTGCGCCACTTAAAGTTATCCTCTATAGCCATATTAATTTTGCAGGAATGCCTAACGCAAACATGGCTTTAAACACCTCTGAGCCGATTGAAAATCTGATAAAGCCAGAAGCCGCATTGGTATGGTCCAATAATGTCTTTGATCATTGGCTTCAGTCGTTCACACAGTACTGGATACTTACTTAGGATACTTATCCCTCTATAGTTGGCAAATATCGTCTTGTCTCCTTTTTTGTGCACGGGACACATCTTGGCTAGGTGGTATACCATCATCTCTTATATGTTCTGGGTATCTTCTTCAACGCCATTATTTGATAAAAGTAGCTTTCCTACCTTTAGAAACCTTCTAGGTCCTCAACACGATATCTGCAACTTTTACTTGGTTTCCATCTTCATCTCTACATGAGGATGTTCCTGCACCAATGCTTTCGGTTTGGTGTTTTACTCGTTGGTAACATTTCCGGACTTCGTTTTGACTCCTGAACATCTCGATTTGTCCCCGCTCTCGTTTTTCTTGTTCTTTCTTCTTTTTGGGAAAATACGTTTCTCTTCTCTCCTTTTTTCCAGATAATTCTCTCTCGCATTACGTGTTGCTACAGGGTTGCCCTATACGCTGCATTTTCCATATCAGTAACATTATGTACCACGGGGTTCTTGATGGTGGTCTTTGATACCCAAGTGTTGTCGTTTGTAGGGAATGGGTAATTCTTTGCAATTGTGCTTCTATATTATTATCGGGAAAAGGAGTGCTTTTGTCAAGCAGGTGGGTAGGGTTCTGCTACCTGTTGTGTTTGCAGCTTTTCGACGTTGAATTTCCATGTTATATTAGATCGCACCTTTGTTGCTACATTAAGATGGTACGAAACTTGGCTGCCACAAGACAATGGACCGAATCGATATTCGCTCCTCGGATCGATCGAACGCCTAAAACACTGGATGAATGCCTTCCGTCTATCACAACATGATCAATTTGATTTCTCGTTGCTTAAACAGGAGAAATCCAGATGGTCTTGTGTATATCGAGATGCTTGAATCTGGTGCAGCTATGTACCATATTTTTAGCTGCCGCGAAGTCAAGCAATCAACCTCATGCGGTTGTCGGATGTTTTTTTCATGGAGGCTGAATTTTCCGACGGCGGGGCCAAAGATAATTGTAAAATCATTGCAACGACAGCTGTCATATGCTGTTTCTAGGCGCTCGTAAAATATGTCATTGGTTTGTTCATCTTTGTCTTCCGTCGAAGCATGGGCTAAGATATATATACATATAGAATTGTTTCAAAATGTAAAATCCAATAGACTGATTTGGATAATATTATACATGGAGAACTAATGGTTCATAAGTATTATTTCATTTGTACACATCGAATTTTTATATTTTACAGGGGAATTTTAGAAAATGCTGGTGCTGTATTCAGCCAACGTTCCTTGGAATGGCATATGGATGCATTATATCCGGGATTAATGTTGAAAATTGGTCCTTCGGCCGATAAAAACAGTGTAGCCGAATTCGTGCTCGATCCTACCATAGATGAAAGAAATTTCAACATTGAAGATGCCTCAACAGGTTAGTATCCCAAACCCACCACAATCAAAGCAACAAAGATTCAAACCACATTTTCTATTTCAGCCCGCATACTGACCAAACAATATGTGTTACCATTTTTACTTGGCCTTAAATTCAACTTGGTAGCACTGGTGCCAATACTGTTCACAGTTATTTGCCTACTGCTGAAGAAGTCGCTATTTATAGCTAAGATTGTTGTTTATATAAGCAGCGTTTTAGGCGTTGGTGGTGTAGCTGGTGCGATATCATCATTCGGTGCTGGTGGTGGTTGGGGCAGTCTTTTTGGTCCATCAATACCACCGCCTCATCCCTATCCACAACAACCACATGGTGGAGGACATTTTCCGGGAGGCTTTGGTTTGGCTCCGGCAAAACAACAAACCGTCTTTTCACATTTTGATCAAGATGAATTTCAACATACGGGGCCGTATAAACGACAAGATCGTAAAGTCGTCTTTGAGAAGCCACGAGAAGATGATAACACCAACAATAAAGTTATTGATGATAAACTAGTGCGTTCAACAGTACCTCCTTCGGATAATTTTTATAATTTTGAAAAGCAAGTGCTGTTACATGACCGCAGTGGAGGTATGCGTCAAGCTAGAGGTAAATTGGGCCCATCGGCATACGATGAAGACTATGAAGAAATGCCTGGTGTTATAAATGTTTCCTCCAATCATCGTTTTAAAACTTCTAATGATAATTCAGGATGGAAGATAGTACGTGCTTAGTTATTATGTAGGTGTTTTCAGAAAAGTTAATTGTTAAAAAATAAAATAGTATAAGGATAATATTAGTAGTTAAGATTTTCTTATTAAACTTTAAAAATCAATAATACAAATATAAGACAATATTGGATATTTTATATTTAAATGTTATATATTATACAGCAATTTTAATATAGAAAATATTCACAGGTTTCCAATGGGAACTACGTTATCAAAACAAAATTGCTGGCTCTGCTCAGGTGAAAAACGGCGCCATGTGAAGACAATTTTTAAGCATGGCGGAGGAAGTTATGGTGGTTAGATCTTTGGCACTGCAATTGTCCAAGGTATAAATGTCCAATGATAACATAATGACGAATACAGACTATTTATGATTTTGCGGACTCATGTGCCCTATTTTTTAGATAGGAGTGCATATTCTGCAAACACACATGTCCAAAATCGTAAAATAAACGCTTGATGAGCACACTTTCAATTAATGCAGTCGCCCGTACAAAGACCCGACCTCAGTCCGACGCAGAAGGTGTAATGAAGAGACCAATCAACACCTACCAATTTGGACGAACTTTGGCAGTATATCTAGAATTAATGGAAGGCAAGGCCACACGCCCCATCAGAAATAGATTTTTTCTATCGCATTTTCGGTTGGACAAACACGGTTGATCTTATATATATATATATATATATATATCAGTTCAAACCATATTAAAGGATTATTTTTAAAGACAAACTCGAAAACATTTTAAGAAAGTAATATAGCACTATCTGAGCCCCGAATCTATCCAGAAAGTACTCCCTCTATATATTTTTTTCGTTTTTATATCCTCCACCACACTGTGTTTGTAACAGGCAAAAGGAATGGGTCGAGTTCCTTTTGGAAATATGCCGTTTGGAATATGCCTTTATTACTATATGAGTCAATTTATGCAGGTCCGTATGTCCGTCCGTCAGTCTGTCCATGTATTTTTGTCAATAAGTACAGGTCCATTTGGATGATATTTGGCACATGTCACTTATTTGACCCTTTTGAATTTGGAGATAGTCGGTTCAGATTTAGATATAGCTCCCATATATAGTTTAGTCCGATTTTATGTAAATGGTGCACCAAACTCCCAATATTAGTCCGATTGAAACAAAACTTTGCACAGAGTACCGAATTAGGTATAGATTGATATATGTCAAGTTTTGTTAAATACTACCAATATTAGTCCGATTGAGACAAAATTTTGCACAGAGTACCGTATTAGGCCCAGATTGATGTATGCGAGTTGTTAAAATGGGTGTAGATTTAAATATAGCTCCCATGTATATTTTCGTCAGATTTTATGAAAATGGAACACAATACTGCCGACGTAGACAGAGTTTTACACAGCGTACTGAATTAAGTATGGATTGAAGTATGTGAATTTTTGTTGGAATCGGTTAAGAGACAAAATTTTGCACAGCGTTCTGAAATAACTGCATGTTGACATCCGAGAAATTTTGTTGGTTCAGATTAAGATATATGTAGCTTCAGAGTTTATGCAAATGGAGGAGTCTATGTCTGTTCGCTTTACATGAAATATTGCATAACGTATTGGATTCAATACGTTTCAGGTTTAGATAAAGCTTCCATATATATTTTCATCCGATTTCATAAAAATTATGTACCAAAGAACTAACGTTTGTCGTTTAAGACATTTATTGGATTTTGTGTCCAAATAAATTTTAGATAGCGCACTGTTTTGCAGCATACCAAATACTGGGTGTCACGGTTGATCAAATACTTATAAATATTTTGCTCGATGATTGACATTCAAATTTTCATAAATTTCAGACTGGTATGTGTGTGAGTTATTTTAATTTAGTTCAAATATCTATGTACTTCGCGCAGTTAATTTCGTCCGATTCCATTTCAATGCTCCTCCAAAGATGATTTATCTTTTCTATCTAAAGGATATTGCACATATGAACATCTCTTGTATGTACCCAAAGTGGTGAAGGGTATCATATAGTCGGCCTTGTCCGACTTTTGAGCATTCCTTACTGGTATTCTATCAATCTTGAAAAAACGTTATATTTCTAATTATTTGTATATGAATATGCATTATATTAAACGACTTTTTTATAATATTGTCTTAAAATATGGAAAGTTTTATACACGAAATAGAATGGAAATATTAAAAAAAAAACATTTTTAATCCTTTATGGCCCAATGTTGGCCACAGGCAACCAAATGGTTTACAGCTTATATTTAATATATATTAATATAATACAGTACTGATTTGTGTATACAGTCTAAATTATTTAAATCGAATTCGAATTGTATGAATTCTGCCATCATAATTATTTTTGATTTTTTTAAAAGGAATATGGAGGATAAATTAAAATGATTGGCCGTCGATTTAGCATTTAGTTTTCTTAATATTGAACTTTTATTTTTCTGGTAGGACATACTGTATCTCCGGAATGGAAGGATGTAGCGATGTCAAATGGTGTTTATATCCTATTTAGGATAGTTGCATTAAATCTGTGAACAAACATTTGTTCTATGATTATGGAAAACATTCGGGGCATAAAGGGTTAAAAATACAAATACCCGTGCATCTAAATAAGCTTATTAGCTAGAGATTTCAAACTTTGCTAAAATTATTTATTTGATATTCCATATCTATGGATCAAAGCAAGTGATGTACAATGAGGACTTCATATCCAAAGGTGTCCCAGTCTCCCCTACTTCATTCTTTTAACTTTCTTCCTTACCAGAGAGCAAAACATGAATTTCTAATGCCTTAAGTATACTATTGGTGTAAACCACATCTCGTTTCAAACTGACCTAAACAGTGCGCGATGGACAAATTTGCTCAATATCTGATTGAGTTAATTGCACATCAAAATTTGCACAATTGTTTGTTCAATTAACCGAGGAACCTATTATCCGATACCCGCTTAATTGAACTTTTTGTTCAATTACAGGAATCACACATACGCTTTCTCGCGGCTTCTCATTAGCAATAAAAATATGTTTTCAAATAGTAGAGATGTACCCTAGTGTTATTCATTACTGATGTCAAATATGTATGTAAAACGAGTAAGGGCCGACTATATGATATGTATCCTAACAGCCGTCGCTCTTCGAAGGAACATTGATATAAAATTGAATGAACTTAAATGTGTGATCTTTATATATCTATATTAATGTGAACCGACTAACATCAATCCATACATATGACATTCTACAACCTATGCTACATTTCAAATTGGAAGTTTGGTGCACCTTTTACCTAAAATCGATAAATGGTAGCTATATCTAAATTTGAACCTACTTTTCTCAATTTCAATAGGGTTCGTCCCTGGGCCGAATAAATTTGGTGTACCAAATTTCATTTAAACCGGATTATAAATGTGACCTGTACTATGTTTATAATTTACCATCAACAGATTGACGGATGGACATGCATAAATCGGCTCAGAAAGTGATTGTATGCATATTCTCAAAAGGAATCATGGGTCTAAAAAATGCCTGATTATTATTCAATAATAATGTAATTAACCGGTGAAAAATAAGAGAAAATTTATTTTAGATGACACGATATTTGGACCAATTGAACGGGAAAATCAATTAACAGGGATCAATTATACGAGAAAATTTACGTGAGTTTTCGTATACAATATTTTTAAACCCATCAAGTGTTTCAATTAAGCGGGGAAACCATTTAACCGTAGGGTCAATTAACAGAAAAATACTGTATATTTTTTAATTAGAAAGAAATAGGTACATGCGAAATTTTGTGCAAGACATTATTGTCGATGTTTTTAATTTCAACAATTATGAAATTAATATTGTCCGTAATCTTAGATTGACCTAAAACAAAGAAAAAAAAAAAACGTAATGTTATCTTCCAAAAAAAAATAGTTTCTGACCTCAATTCCCTATATGCTTTAAATAAATTGTCCCAATAACCTTAGCAAACCAAGAAAAAATTACATAATCTCTATCAGCAAACTAATCTTAAAGGCCACTGCCTACGAACTGAAAGAGCTAGAATAATTTTCGTGAGACTATTATTTTAGGCCTACGTAAATATATGACAAAGAATTTTGTAATAGTTTTAGCAGGCTTTTTAAAACAATGAAAATAAAAAATGAAAGTGAAACTAAAAAGTTATTGTGACAAAGATGAGGTTAACAATAAAACTACTGTTGTCATTTTCAAGGTTCAATACACCACCAACATCATTCTTTTTTTTATATTTGAAAAATGTTGTGTTATTACAATCATAGATTATTTCATTGGGTCTCTTTGAGTTTTGAAGAAGAAAAAACAAAACGGCAGCAGTTTAGTTTTGACAATGAAAGTTATTTTTTGGGGGGAAATTGTTTTCTTAGATTTGATCAGAAATTAAACTATGCAGAAAAATGTGGGTGTGTATTTGACTGATGGTAAAAAATGAGTGGTATACCCTACATAAGGTATACTTTGTACTTAGGTCTCAATTAAAATCGACGGATATATATCATCAAACCTTCGAAGTTTTTTTTTTAACGGAATTGGTGGTAATTTTGTTCTTTGCGTTCCAATCTGAGTTATTTCTACCGGAAATTATTGATATAGGTTCATTTTTTAAAAACAGCGGAACTCCCCTTTATTAGGTATTTTTGGTAGTTAGGGTAAAGTTTTTCAAACAAATTTGCTATAAGCAGAATCATACGCACATTTCAGAGTACGTGCTCAATTCTTTTTAATACCAATGGTACTAAATGTTGGCAATATGCACTTTGAGTAAGAATATATGAAACTGGAACACAATTCTAATACATTTTGAGACTTCAGGTCTGTTAGTTCGTACATTTTAGTAGTTTTCTTTCAACCATTAGTTCGAATTATTCAAAATCCTGCAGTAAATTGAAAAATCAATTTCCAAATTTAACAATCATAATGTAAAGCTCTATGCAGCCGTTCAATGCCAACATAAAAATTCACTTTTACCCACAACTATGATCTTCACCACGGAAGAGGCGGG